CCCCCGCCCCCCCCGGCGTCGCCCTCGTAAAGCCCCCATGCAGCCAGAGGACCCGCTGCTGGAGCTGATCGCAACGCTCTTCTTCCGGTTTCTTGGCGATCTGCCGGCAGCAGGGCCGGCCGAGGCGACGGCGCAGGCCGGTCTGCCCTCTGGCTGGACCTGGCCCGCCACGGTGGCCGCTCTCGAGCGCCACCTGGCCCAGCTCTTCCCCCTGGCGCTGGGGCTGATTGATGGCGAGGCTCCCTCGGCAGGGGGCCAGCTCCCCGCGCGGCTGGCCGGCGCGCGGCCGGGTCTGGTCGGCGATCTTCGGCCGCCTAGTTGCTTTTCGACCGACGTCCCGGCCGAGGCCCTGGCACTGGAGGGTGTCACCCTGGAAGCTGGCGGCCCCGGCTTGGCCGCCTTCCACAGGCATTTGGCCCTCCTGCAGGCGGATCTACTGGCACTGATCCACCTGCTTCCTTGGCGGGTGGTCCCGGTTTTCCTGCGCCAGGCCCTGCTGACGGCGTGTCTTCTGCACGCCGGGGTCCTCGCGTCGGCGGCCCTGCAGCATGTAATCCCGGAGCCGGTGGAGCAGGCCCTGTTGCTCGCGGCCGTGGTCCTCATTGACCGGGGGCTGGTCTTTGGCGCGCCATGGGACGTCCCGGCCCCGGGGCCCGGGCAACCTGCAGGCATGAGCACCATGCCCCTGAATGCTCTGGCCTCGCAACTGGCACGCATCCTGGCATCGCGCATCCGTCAGCCCGAGCCCCAAGCGCCCCAGGTGGATCTGACCTCGGGCTTCAGCCTGGCCGAGGCGTCGATGATGCGCGGCCCGGCCCCTGTGGCGGCTCCTTCGGCCGACAATGACTGTTGGGCTGAAGCCGAGCCGGCGGCACACTTTGCCCGGTTGGCTGCGGATTTTGAGGCTCTACTGCAATCGGCGGCCGCCTGCCCGACCACCAGCATCACCAACACCGCCACCACCCCCCCCGCGGCCACTGCTGCCGGCGGAACTCCCGACATGGATGGCAGTCCGGTGCCGCGCCTGCTGGCGCGAATGGCCGAATTCCCGCACTTCCCCGCGGCCCTGGATTTGCGGCTGCTGGGAAGCTTCTGCACGACCGGCCAACACTCGCTGGCACCCTGGGCTCCTCCGGGCGAGCCGGCCCCGGGCCCGGCCTCCGTGCCGGAGTTGGCTTTCGACAGCCCGGCCGATGCGGGTGGCTTCCTGCGAGCCGCGTGCGCGACGGTCGATCACCCCCCGCGAGCCGTACTGCTGGGTGGCCTGGCGGATGGGTGGCCGGCTGTGCGACGCTGGGCCGGGCCCCAGCGGCTGGTGGCTCGACTTGGCGGCCGGCACCGGTCGGCTCCGGTGGAATTGGGGGCTTCCTACTGCCCGAGTCCCGAGGCCGGCTGTTCCGACGCCAATTGGCAGCCGCGCGTGGTCTTCCTCGGGGACTTGGCCGGACACATTGGCCAACAGACGGCCCGACATCGGGCGGCCGGGTCGCCCGACAACCCGACCCCGGCCTACCTGGCACAGTTCGATCTCTTCCATCACTTCCCGGAGGTGCGCGGGGACATTTGCATCCCGGACCTGTGTTTCCTGGCACCCGATGAGCTGCTTCACCTGGCCGGGATGTTGTCAGCCGATGGCGAGTCCGGCTGGCCGGATCCGCCCCCGGTGGAGACCAACGTCTGGATCGGCCCCCCCGGGACATACTCCCCCCCGCACACCGACCCCCGGGATAACATCTACACCCAAGTCCACGGGTTCAAGGTGTTCCGGATTTGGCCACCGACCGAAGGGCCACACATGGCTGCCCCGACGAGCGGGGCCCTGCACAACACATCTGCCGTGCCCCTGTTGGAGCTTGGCCGGCGACAGGCGGCCGGGCCACCGGATCCCGGGTCACCACCAGACCCCCTGGGGCCGATCGCCGCCGAGCACCAGCAGGCCCGGTATGTGGATGTCCTCCTTGCCCCTGGGCGATCGCTTTTCATCCCCCGCGGGTGGTGGCACGCGGCGCGGTCGCTCACCTCCGGGGCCGGAGTCAACAATTGGTTCGACCTGCATGCCTTCCTTGGCCAATGAATAAAATAGATCCCCCGTGTCACAAGGGCCCCACTGCTCGACGTGCATCTTCCCTCTGTCTGGCCTCTCCCTCCCTCCTCTCTCTCTCTCTCCCCCTCCTATCTGTCGCACTCCCCGCCTTTCGGCTGCCGCTTTCTCTTTCGTGTGTCTAGTGGTGGAATCGATGCTCGGTAGGCAGACCAGGTGCAGTCCCCAGCGCCAGACGCCGCTCTCAGTCGTCGTCCTGCTGGGCGGCGCTCCGACGAACGTGTGGCAGGAAGCGCCGGTCCTTGGCGGCCTGCTTCTGGCGACGGCGCTCGAGGACCTTCTGGACGGCGCCCGCGCCGCCGGACTCCGAAAGGGCCTTGAAGCGCGCGGCGGTGGCGATCTTGCGCTCGTCGCCTGGACCCCGCCGGGAGTGCGGCCGACACAAAGGTGAATGGCGATGTAAGCACAGGCACAGAGGCAGGGGGAGACCCTCGACAGTGACCAGGTGGTGGCGGAAGTCCGAACAACACCAACGCCAACGACAGCAAGGCAAAATGAAGAGGAAGGGGGAGAAAAAGCCACAGAAAGGAAGCCCCATCCAGCGAGACATGCCACGCACTCTTCTTGAGGAAGTAGGGCTTCTTGCCCTGGCGGACCAGCTCGCGCTCCTTGGAAAGACGCTCCGACCGGACAGCCTGCTTCTTGTCGTCGTCCTTGATGCGTTTCTGGATTTGGGTCTATCTCGGCGGGGGGTGGCCCACGAATGCCAGGGGGTGGTCAGAGGAAGAGGCAACATCGCAAGGTGGCCACCGGACCCGGGGATGGGGCAACGCACGAGCCTCTGCAGGGACATCTTCAGACCCTCGCGACGGCCCTCATTCTTCTCGCGGTTGATGCTGGCGCGCAGCTTGTCGATCTCCTGCTGGCGCTGATCCGTGATGAAGCCGTACGCCTTCTTGAAGAGATCCTCGTTGTACTTGCCGGCAGTGCGCTCGAAGCGCGGATCGCGCGCCTTCTGTGAGCCCGGAGGCGGGCAATTGGGCGTCAGCATCGGTGGCAAGGCACGGCGGCGGCGGCGGGGGG